AGGGAAAGAACAACCATGCCTTTCCCCCTGTCCCGCCCCCATTCCTGATCCAATCAGTAGTAGTTGTTCTGTGAATAGGCATCACAGAACATCCTAGTTCAGCCCCAGAAAGGCTATAAATACAGAAGAATCAATCGGGGGGGAAGAGGGGGAAAAATTATATGCTGTCTCCAAGTACTACATTAGGCTTCTCTCCTTAAATCTTCCCATTCAACAAAGAAGGGAGGATCAAAACTGGTCCCTCCCTGTTCAGTTCAAAAGCTGTCCCATATGCCTCAGCAATTAGTTATCAGGATTCCACACTGCTCCTTTCATTAAAAAAAACACTTCATTCACAGCTTCTGGGAATAGCCAGCACAAAGGCTGTAACAAAAGGACCCACAGCTCTGGAAGGCAGAGATTGCTTTGGCGAGGCAGGGATGCCCTTGGTTTAGAGATGACTGGAACACAGGCAGTTGTAGTTAGAGCTTTGCTAGATTCCATGTTACTGCAGGAGGAATTATCAAAGGTTTTTGCTGAAGACTCTTCAGGGAAGTCTGCCAGTGTTTGCCAAGTGGTGGATGGCCTTTTCAGAAGCAGGCTCCTTGTTCCACACTTACATCCATTCTGTTTAGCAGGAGGCTCCAGACTGATCTACAGGAGCATGCACTGCTCTATTCCAGGGTATAATAGGAAAGCATGGGACCACCCTGCATTCCAGTAGCAACACAACTGCTTCAGGCTATGCTTGGCTCTCTCCATCCCCTAGAAAGCACAGGATCTATGCAGCTGCACACTGTAGAACTCTATGCCTTCCCTCCCTCCCTCCCCATCCCCCCCACCCCATTATTCTACATAGCTGCACACAAATCTGGCTCAGTCTGCTTCAGAGCAGCTCTTGGGCTGGACCCACATCAGCAGGACCTGAGGGGCAGTTTCTCCAGCATGGCTGGATCAGGTGAGCTTGTTAGACAGCCCCCCTTCTCTTCCCCTGCCTTTTGCTCAAGGTAAGGGACAGAAATCCAGCCACTCTTAAGACAGTATTTCCCATGCTGGAAAAATGAAGACATCAAAAATAAAACTTTCCAAAACATAACCAGTCAATAGTGCCGTGACATTCTTTGTTCTGCGAAGAGGCTGTGTTTGTCTGTGCCCTCCAAGGCTCCTCTGCTGAGCTGGGAGCTGAGGTCCGCACCCCCATGCCGCTGTGCTTCTTGGCAAGGTACAAAAAAGCCAGAAGAGCAGAAGTCGGTCTTGCAGAGCCGGGCTCCTCCCTCCTGAGCCTCCTTGCCACTGTAGCCTTGTTGGGGGTCCATGCTACAGGAGGTTGGCAGCCAAATTCCTAACTGGAGAGAGAGCAAAGGGATTAGAGTTGGCCTGCTAGATGCAGTATGTGAGCTGCCCACCTGAAAGCTGTGGTAGCAATGAAGCATCAGTTCCCTGTGGAAGGGCAGCAGCAGCAATAGTAAAGAGGACCCCATGGAACCAGCTCTCTCTGCTCTTGAATCAAAAGAGGTACTATGAGGTCAGACCAATGGTCCACACCCAGCCCTACATCCTGTCTCCAACAATGGCACGAGTGGATGCGTTTGGAAGAGCATATGAACAAGGTACATCTAGAGTGAACTAGCCCTGTCCTACCCTTGCTGGCATCCACCATCATTGGTTTAGAAGTGCCAAAGGATACACCTGACTGTTCTATTTGTAGTTAAATTCATGGAGGATGGGTCCATTAAATGCCCAGTTCCTTTTGAACCTGGCTATATTATCTGCCTCTCTTCTTGGAGCAAGTTAACTACGTGCTGCATAATAAAGTGTTTAAAGCCTGTCTCCTGCTGATTTCAGGGGTGCCCCTTTGTTCTAGTATTGTCAGACTTGGTGAATAACAGTTCCCCATTCACTTCGTCTACACCCTTCATGATTTTATAGACTTCATATTCCCCCCCAGCCTTCTCCTTTCCAAATCGAAGAATCCCAGTGTCTTGAGTCTCTCCTGGTAAGGCAGGTACTCCATACCTTGATCATCTTGGCTGCCATTCTCTGTCCCTTTCCTAATTCTACTACATCAGGGACAGGCAATTATTTCGGGCAGAGGGCCACTTACTGAGTTTTAGCAAGCCAGAGGGCTGCGTGACAGACAGCCAGGGGAAGATAAAAATTAATTTTCTAAATTTTTTAGGGGCCCCACAGGCCAAATAGAATGGCCCATGGGCCGCATCCGGCCCACCCCTGTACTACATCCTTTTTGATATGTGGAAATGAAAGCTACACGCAGTATTCAAAATGTGAGCATGCCATGGATTTGTATAGTAGAATGATAACGTTCTCTGCTTTGTTTTCAGTTCCTTTCTTAATGATACCAACGTTATTAGCTTTTCTGGTCACCACTGCAAATTGAGCTGATGTTTTTTAAGTGTTTTTAGAGAACTATCTACAATGACTCCAAGGTCTCTTTTCTGAATCATAACTGCTAGTTCAGAACCCAGCACTGTGTGCATATATAACAGAGGTATTTTCTTCCCCATATGCATGACCTTGCACTTGCCAACACTGAAGTTCATATGCCTTTTTTTTTTTTTGCCTACTCACTTAGCTTTGTGTGGTCTTTCTGCAGTCTCCCTCCATCAGCTTGGTATTTGACTTTCCAGGATAATTTAGCACTAGCTGAAAACTTGGAAATTTCACTGTACTCTTTCATTTTCAAGTCAATGATGAAAATGTTAAACAAACCCGGTCCAGCACAGACCCCTGTGGGACTCTACTTCTGACCTGCCTCCATCCTCAATAGTGACCATTTTAGCTCTACCCCTTGCTTCCTCTCTTAACCAGCTCTTAGTCCACAAAAGAACCTTTCCTCCAATCCTTTGGAAACTCAGTTTCTCAAAAGCCTCTGGTGAGGAATCGTGTCAAAAAGCTCGTGTCAACTGGATCCCTTTTGTCCACATGTTTGTTAGGACAGTCAAAGAACTTAAGCAGACTGGGGAGGCAGGATTTCCACCCCAAAAAGCCATGCTGACTCTTCCCCAGTCATATTTCTGTCATAAGACTGTTGATTTTATTCTTTATCATAGATTCTACCACTTGATAGGGATGGAAATAACACTCAGTGGTCTGCAGTTCCCAGCATTGCCCCTGGAGCCCTTTCTGAAGATGGGTGTTATGTTGGCAACCTGCCAATCCTCTGTCACTGGGGCCATTTGCAACAATGGGTTATATGTTACTGTCAACAGTCCTGCAATTTCGTATTTGAGTTACTTAGAATTAATGGTTATTCTGTAAATCCCTTTGAATCTCACTGACAACACCTTCCTCACTAGGAAAGCCCAGCTCTTGGCAGCAAGCACTTAACTCAAAGTAGCTCAGGGACATGCTCTCCCAGAATTTTGCTCCCAGTGTTAGCACTATATACAGGATGGCTTTTCTGATTGATCTGCCTCCTCTCCAGTCTCCCTAACTTTGAAAAGGATAGAGATGCCAAGCAAGCACTACCCTCTCGTGTGTTTAATGTGTGTGCTCCAAATTTTCCCTGAGGGCCCAGCTACAGAAGCCCTTACCTAGCAGCTTTTGGCTAGGTTATACAGAAGACATATGTATCTGAATTTATGAATGAGTCCTTGCTACTGCATTTCTGTGAATGCCACAAACCCAAAGCTCACTCCATATTGCGTGCAACTTGAGGAGGAGAGCCAATCACAGACAAAACCCTCCTCCTTCAAGCAAATGACATATATGTGAGTAGGAAGGCATTGCATCCCTTGTCAAGAGCAGTAAGCTTTTGGATGCACACAGGACTGCAGTGTTCATGTTATAAACTATGGAACCTACATCATAAGCCCATGAGTAACTAACAATAGGTGTGTGACCTACAGGAAGCCAGCTTTAAGGCAGACAGGCAGGACCCAAGAGACAGGGAAGCCCTGGATTGGGTACTCCTATAGTGGTAAGAAACACTTAAAAGGGGAAGGATGTCTCCTCTCTCCCTCAGTGACAGAAGCTGGAAAGGCTTTGACAACACCCAGCAGAGAGGTTTGACCTGTTCTGGTTTGGGGCTATAAAGCCAGAGCTGAGGACAGGGATAAGAAGAGACCTGAAGCTGAGATTATTTTGCTATGCCTGTCTCACCCTGTGGTACAAAGACACTGGCTCAAGGCTGAGTAACAAGCTAGAACTGCCTCTTCAGCATGGCTACTATGGAAATTCTGCAGTACCTTTTTCCCTGCTCAAGACCAAAGGGTGTTTAGTGTGGCAACCAAGGGAGAAGGCCCTCTGGGTTTCTAACTGCCTCCAACAAGGGGCTTTGCTCCCTCCAGTGGCTTACTAGCACACACAAACACCGACACTCACCACTGCTTTGGAGAAGTGGGGAGGGGGAGGCTGGTGATTTCAGGATCTTTGCAAACATTGTGCTGGTTACAATTAGCTCAGCTATAGTTTCCTTCACAACCAAAAGGGTTAGAGATTTTTGAAATACAAGCCTTTAGTATGGAAGGAGAACCTGCCCTGAGGGGCAGATTCTATAAGCCATATAACGGTGTAGTACAAGGACCCTGGACATGTATTCAACTCATGGGCAGAAGCTACCATAATACCTCATCAAGCAGGACAGGTCAGAATCTCTACAGAAGAGATAAAGCATCTGTCTCCATTAAGTAAATCTACCCCTTGATAGCAGCAGACTCTATCCAATCAATTTTGCCATTGCTGGAGAGATCATCTGCCCAGCAGGAGGAGTCAGGATTTATCCAGCTGTCAAGTGCTCCAAACAGTCAGGATGCAAAGGGAAGAAAGAAAGTTTGGTTTCTTTCGGTTTGGGCAGGTTGTTTACTAGCTGTTATCAAAGGGAATTCCAGGCTTCCACCCCAAGCAGCCAGTGGTCACCACATCACAGGGATGGGAGGATGACTGAGTGCAAGAAGCAATTTAGAAGGCAGGACAAGGGATCCACTGACAACAATCCAAACAAAATACTTGGCCTTAGGAGAACTCTGGACCCCAGGCGAGTTGAGCAGCCTTTTCTGATGATCTACCACTCTGAGGGAAACACAGAAAATGCTGGCTTCCAACTGCAGAAGCTGGCTCTTCATGGACAGGCAACAAACAGTCCCTTGCCCTCAGTGACTAATGTCCACTGGGAGTGAGGCAGGCAGCTGTGTTTCCTACTTGCAATATAGTTCTTCATGATGAACCATACCCCAGGATCTTACCTTAGCTCCCCCAGCAAGTCTGAAACTAAACTTACACAATTAACCAGCACCTAACAAAACTAATCATCATCTCCAGCTTAAATCTCCGGTGATCTCTTCCACCCACCCCAGGACCTTCCATCTGCCTTTATACCATTTAATGACTCATTAGAATTCCTCTGCACACATCTGCATGTTAAGATGCTTCACAGTGAGACTGGAGGCTAGTCTGCCTGGGCACTAAGAGAACTGTTTTTGATTAAAGGAATTGCATTGTTAAGCAATTCCCTTGCAATAGCTCACTTCTGCAGCTGGCTGGAAAGGGAGAATTACCAAGATGGCATCTCCCTCCTCTGGGTTCCAGGATCCCACTTATACTCTGTATATAACTGAACAGGCATCTCCCTCCCACTCTTCATACCAGGAATGCAGTTTCCTGGTGACTGCAAGGGCTGTGCAAGCTCTTTACAGGCACAGTCACATGCAAGAGAAATGCTCTAATGCCCCAGGAGTTTAGTTTTGGTCCTGCCTCAGTATACCGTACTGACAGCTGAGGTTTCCTACCAAGTCCACACACAAGCTTGTGAGACACTGAAGAACCCAACACTGTCAAAAGCAGCTGGTATCTTCCCACTACCCCTGCCCAAGAGCATCTCAGAGAAGGAAACCCCACAGAACATGGTTTGGGATGGGGCAGTGACAGAAGATGACAGATGGTGGAACCAACCCTCAGGGGGCTGGTTTAGTGGGATGAGCCTTGCCCTCCTGTTCAGGGCCAAGCACATGCTAGGAGTTAAGTGCAATGCTGGATCTTGGTACCATCCAGGATATGCCTGGGGACAGCAATGGGGAATTTACCATCAGGGACAGCAACAGGACAGAACAAGGCAGCCTCGCTACGTTGAAGATTCGGTCTCCTGCTTCTGTTTTGAGATAAGCTGGGCTTCCTTCAGTGAAAGGTACACCTCTTCCTGTGGGTCGTAGTAATAGAACTTCCGGATGTAGGAGATCAAAGGCCTGTAGAGCACATGGGCAAAGACTTTCATAGCAGGTCACAACAGAGTCCATGTTTAAAAAAAAAGCTACAGCTATGCCTCCTCCTCCCCCTCCACTATTTCCCAAAAGCCAGCCCTGCCCCTGCTGCCTGGATGAGAAAAGTTGCCCACAACCAGGGACTTGTGTGCTCCTCTGACAGATCTGATGCTTTGCATTTTTGGGCCACCCACCACTCCTGTATGTTCAGCTGTTGCTGACTCCAACCCCAGAGGCCATTTTGCCTACTGTCTCCTCTCTAACAGCATGGTACCTCAACAAGCAGCTAACTGCCCCTCCCCACGGGTCCCTCCCTTCCTGCTCTGATCATGGCTGGCTTTACAGCTTTCGCTTATGATACCAACAGAGGATACCAAGAGCACAGGACTTGGCATTAAGATTCTACACTGACAAACAGAGGAGCTCCCCCACCCCTGGCCCCTGAGACGTACTTAGGCAGTGGGAGCTCTGGAATGTGATCTATGCGGACGAGCTGCCGGATGCGGAAGCGGCAAAGGTGCTGGAGGGATTTGACGTTGCTGAACCTGGAAACAGGATACAGGAGCTGGACTGGAGTTGGAGGGAGACCTGATGAGGAACAGGAGATGATGGTAACTTGTTTATCATATGTAGAAATACAATGGCTTCAAAAAACCCAGAAAGGGGTAAACCAGCTGTAGTAAAATGAGAGATCTGGGTAAAGCAACATGTTGCGGAGCAGGCAGCTGCTTCTCTTCCCTGCTGCAGGATCTCAAGGCATGCTGTGCAGGAAGGGATGCCTTTTCTCAATCTCTGGGAGCCTCCCCAGATTTACTTGTGAATAATCCCCTCTGACTAATGCCAAACCCATTACGATCATTTTTAGCAGGGAAGCAGATATTGGGATTCAGCAAAGTTCCCAACAGAGCCCTCTGAGAACAATCAGCAGATAGAGCATCATTTTACAAAAGAGAGAGCAATGGGCCTCTGAAATCCATCAGATTTTAGGCATACTGGAAAACAGTGAGGAAAGGGGAGCAGGGAAGATGACAGACTTAGCTCTGTATAAAGCTTTTGGTAGCTGGATGGGAACATTAACAGGTCAGACTGGGATGGGAGGCAGATGCTCCCTGAGATTAGATGGCTAGGTGTAAAGAGGGGCAATACTCAACCCCGAAGTGTAGGAAGCATACTACTGCACTTGGCTCCAGTCTGGCCCATGCACAGACATTCGAGCCTGCTCTGGAGATGCAGTTGCCTCCAATTCCCTCCTCCCCACTCCATAAGCCAAGGGCAACAACCAAAGCCTAGAACTGAGGGCAGGGCAACAGCACTTGGGCAGCTCCATGGGAGCCCAATTCATGGTGAGCGCAGTGCCTAGTCTGTTTTTGCAGAAGGATTCAGGGCTAGTTCCACTCTAGCCTCCCTCCTGCTGCCAGGAAGCTTTCTGCCTGCATCCCTCAGAAGCTTCAGAGCCCAGTGAAAGGATTTAAAGAAAGAGCAGGGAAGCTCTTCACATAGAGGCAGGCTCCAATCTGTTCCAGGCAGCACAGGGAGCCCAGAGCCAGCTTTTGAGAAAGCAAAGAAAAAAGGAATCAATTGAAGACTAGGACCATCATCCCTCCTCCACCCCAAAGAGGAATAAACCTCTGGGAGCTCGGCCAGGAACGCCAGAGACACAGCAAGAGTTTTGCATGCTGTGCTAGCCATATGTCTCCCTGCCAGCAGCCAGCCACACTGGAAGTCACCGCCATCTCCCCACCACAACAGGAAGTTAGCAGCATTTTAGCTGCACTACAGCATTAACAAGGGCATGGAGGAGATGTGGATCCAAGATATTCTCCCACTGAAAAAGCCCATGCCAGACAGACCACGGTATAAGGGGGCTTTGCATTTCAGGTAACTCCCACCATGGCATGGTGAGCTTCCAGACCCAGCTGACACTTCATGGCTGGTTTGGCAGTTCTACAGCCAGGCACTGATCCCCATGCAGAGTGAAGTGTTCGTTTATTTTCTAGAACCTTTCTTATTAGAAGCAAGTGGATCTGATAAGCTATTCTCCTTGAAAGCTAAGAAACAATAAGGGCACATATTAAAGGTTTTGTGAAATGGCCACTGCTACCACTGCCACCCCAAGCATAATGCGTGCATACACATTTCAAACTAACTCCACCTCCCTCCACCCCCATTTTTGCTCAGCTGAACTCTACATAGCCTTGCGGCATACACCAGGCAAGGACTCTAGTCTGGAGTGAAAAATCAAATGCCCCGTCACTGACAGTATGTGCAACCTTGGACAAGTCACTCAATCACACTGTGCCTCAGAGACTCACCTGTAAAATAGGGATATCACGGTCTCTCCCATCCTTTGCCTGTTTACATGGAAGGCTCGTCAGGGTGGGGACCACCTCAGTGTGGCTGAGGCACAACAGGGTCCCAATCTCAGTCAGGTGCTGCTAAGGTACACGTGGTAAATTCTCTCCCCATAACAATGCTACAAAGCTTATCTGATCACCCCTCGCTAGGTACAGCCTGAAGCAGAGGACCGAGCACTTTTGCACCTGCCTATGCCCATGTGCTCAAAAATGACTAGGCAGGATATTCTCCTTTCCTGAAATCTTAGGGTCACTGTGCACCTCCTTCATAAAATTCTATTTTCCACTACTATCCTCCCCCCCACATTTCAAAGCCAGCTGTGCTTTTGTGTGGGGCAAAAGTAATTCCCTCCTATCACCTTGGATTTAGCCCACCAGCTTCTACATATATCAGAGGAGGAAGGTGCTGGTGAGAGAACACATGCATGCAAGCTCTCTTGTCATGCTGAACTAAGCAGCAAGGAAAAGAGAGCATGCACAAGGAGCTGAGCTTTGACAGGGTGGAATCATGGAGTGCTCACATGACAGGGCACCATAAAGCATGCACTGGTAAAACCTCATCAATGCTCCCTTTGTGCTCACAAGCACCTGCCTGTTAACGTGCTCTGGCACTGCTTATCCCCACAAGGTTCAATCTACAGTAGCTAGTGCTTGAGACTCATGTTCAGCCTTCTGCCTGGAAGCCTTCTTGTGTATACACACAGCTTAACATCACTCTTTCACCCTCCCTTTCAGAAGTCCCAGGTGGGTGGGAGCTACAGGAGAATGGACAAGTGCAGAGTGTGGAGCTGCCTGCAAGTGCAGTGCTGAGACTAGGGGAAGCAACATTTTAATAAGCATTTAACTGAATGCAGAAGAGGCAGATCCCAACACAGTGCATGCAGCCATGTTCGCAGTAAGCACAGAGATCTTCCATGCCCATCAGGCTATGTCTCTAAAGAAATGTCTAATGCTATAGAGTTAAGAGTGCATTGGTCTAACAGTTGCAGAGATCTGCTTTGCAGGGGCAGTTAAAAGCCAGAGTGCCAAGAACGCTCATTAGGGTAGAGCAATCAGAGTGCTAGCTAAGAAGTGGGACAAGAGGGCACTGCAGATGAGGCACATGCACACACACACCACATACGGTTAATAAGGCTTAAAGGGTCAGACTCACCTGGAACCCTGGATCGCAAGAAGTAAAGGAACTTCCCATTTTTTGAATGCATGATTGCTCTCTTTATGAACTCCACCACAGACTGACAGCGGTCCTCAAACTTGGGGTGACACCACAGGCTGAAGGTTCCTTCCAAGGAGAAAGAAAGAAGGTGTTTTGTATTACAAGGCCACAGGAGAAGAAGATGAGATCACTTAGTAAGCAGAGTGGCCAACTCAGGCTCCCAAAAGGGGAGGTCACCAACTTGACCCAAGCATAAGCACTACTATGATGTCTGCCAGCATTTGCAGACAACCAACCCATGCACCTCAGTGGAGTGTTAACTCCATCTAGGTCAGACCACAGGTCCATCCAACCCTGTGTCCCATCTCAGTAATGGCAGAGTACAGATGATAAGGGGAAGAGATTTTATGCAACACCTATCCAGACTGATCCTGCCCTGCCCCGCCCCTCTTCTCTTTAAGCTTCCAGAGGCCTAGAAGGTCCTAATTTGTAGGCTGTAAGCTTATGGTCATGTTTCTTACCTGGGGTTATCCTGCATGAACGTGTCCAGTTTCACAACATGCTGCACTTAAAAGTTCCCAACAGTGCCAGCCCTGGAGAACAATCCACCCAAACCTATGGCAACAAGCTGGGATACAATCTCTGGAGACCCTTCCTGCTCTCAAGGACCATCACCCTCCATATGGGGATGGCCTTGCACACAGTGGGGTGTACTGACAGGACCCTTAACATGGCCCTCCCACAGATACATTAATAGGAGGTCCCATGTTGCCCCACCACTCAATACCTACAAGCAAGCAATGAAACTGAGAAGCAGCAATACATCAAGCATCCTTACCCTCACATGTGACTGCACAGGTTAATTTAAACCCAAGAAACCAGTTTAGGTCTCATGAGCTTTTTTCCTACAACCAGACCAACTCCTCCTCCCCACCGATAAAGCTGACCTATCTGTCTTCTGCTTGTTAGAGCACTGTCTGTACATCCAACACTGGCTGCCTGCCCTGCTCAGCCTATAACCTGAGGCCAGGGCAAAGAGGAAATCTAGTAATTTAAGAGCAACTGTGACAACTCAGAAATACCCCCGCAGGGAAAACACCCTTGACAGAATATGAAAATAGGTGATGGTTCCCATCTTGCCTTTGATGGCCAAGGTTACACCAGACACTGCGGGGCAAGCATCTGTGAGCAAGAGTCTTATGCTGTAAACCCCAAAGACAGACATATTTCCACCAGCACAGAGCAGGGCCTACAGTGCTGCAATCTGAACCAGTAAATTACTTGAGTGCAACCTGCTTTACATAGGACAGAGCATTTATACCAGGTGCTGGTAGGGGCGCACCTAGATTATCTCAGGACACCTCCCTGGATATGAGAGTTATTGAGGACCATGGAGCTGACAACCCCTAAAAGTACTGCATTAAGACACAGGTCTTGTGACATCACACTGCTATGGAAAATGCACAGGAGAGCTCAGTTATGCTTGCATGTTGCTGAGAACTCCAAGTTCTTGCATAGAATGTAGGCTACAGGCTCCAGAGACACTCAAAGACCTCTGGACTCTGCACATTTTAGAGTGAATTTGCCTATAAATGCATCTGGATTATACCTTGATACAAATCACTGAAATTAGGGACTGACAATGGGAAGCAATGACCAACACCAGGGAGGGAAGACCTACACATTCCCACTCAACAGCTCTGTAGGGCTTCAAAGCCAGCAGCAGTAGATCAGCACAGCACATCTGATAAAAAGCTCAGCTGGCCAGCACCAGAGGGAGAAAAAAAAAAAGCAAGCAGAGAAGCTTCCAAGAAGAATTTAGTTCCTGCCTTTTCACCTACCTGAAATCTGAAGGTCAAACTAAATCTATTTACCATTCTCCCAGCCCAGTCATTTGTCATTTTCATTAGTTTATCAAAGTGCTCAGCTCTGCAATTTTCAAAACAGCTGTAGCACATTCAGCAGGCTAACTCAAGCCTTTGCACAGGGGTTTTGGAAGGAAATAATGTCCCCTTGATTGTGCTAGAGAACTGCCTGTTGGGGGAACAAGGCAGCTTTGAGCTCCAATTTATTCTGCCAAAAAGTGCCAGAAAGCAGGGCATTCTACTTCAAACACTGACATAAGAAATGCAGTAGCATCTTCAGAGACATTCAAGAGCTCAAGCACCATTTTCCAAAAGCACACACAAACCTAGGTCCTACTGATGTCCAATGAAAGTGGCCCTAATGTCTGGTCAGCTTCGAAAGCAGAACTTGATGCTTCTGAAACTTTCATTTATGACCCTGGAGAGTTTAATCTAAGGCCTCAAAACCTGCAGTACTCAATTATAACCAGGAGCAATCCCACTTATATTCCTATTGTTATTCGTGCACTCTGCTGAATCAATGCCTGAAGCTAGTTACTTGCAAAGGATGGGTGAGAGGCAGAGGTAATCCAAAGATGTACATTTACCATTATTAGTAGCTGGGTCACCAGCTAATGTGCAGTGACACTGCTTTGCAAAAAATAATGGCCCTCTGAGTACAAGGCTCCACAAGGAATTAGAAGATCCCTGACTGCTAAGGCATCATACTTTGGTGCTCAAGCATCTACAGTGGACAGCTGCCAGTTTGCTACAGGAAAATAAGACCGTTTCAATGGTGCCATCCCTGAAGAGCAAGAGAGTCAGGCATTTTGCTAACCTCAAAATCACACTGTGCAGGCAGGTCATCGATATAAAAATACCATATTTGAAGCTAACTCAGAATATGTGCATGTAGGGACAGAGAAGTACATTCTAGTGCTGAACAAGGCAGGAAGGGCTGATGTGAGATCATGCAAAGCATTCTCAGAATAGAAAAGCCACAATAGCAGAACTAAAACCTCAGCCTGGTAATGGGCAGGCTTGGTACTAGCCAGATGAGGACACTAATCTACCCCAAAAGATAAGCATGAGAAACATCCTCAAAGGCAAAGGAACTCCAAGGCATCACCTTCCTGTTAGCAGGTGAACCAACTGATCTAAATGCTTGGCCTCTGGGAATATAATATACAGAGGTGCTTCCATAATGAATGTGCCACAATGTAAAGCTGCACCCTGAGCTATGCCTTCTCAGTACAGCTCTGCTCTTCCCATTTTCTAGGTGAAGTTAGTTAGGGCTAGGGAAGTTAGCTCTTTTCACGTACAGCTTCCCAAAGCAAGGCACGCAGAGCAGGCATAGAAGGAAGAGAGGCTAAGGGACCATGTTGCATTGCTGGATTTCTCAGTGGAGTTGGTACTGTCCCAGAAAGGGAACAGGAAGACGGTGCATACAGGAGCGAAGACAAGTGGAGGGAAGCATTTACAACATGCTGTAGCAATCCAGCATGCATTCAGAGCTGTTAAATTTCTGAACTATCTCTAGCAGTCATTGCACCTAGGCTGGCATGGAGGGCTCCATCACCATATGTAATTCTTCATTTAGGAAAGGTTTCAGGGGGAACATTCTTCTGTAAAGGAGAGGTATCCTAATCATAAAGGAGGACCCAAATATTTCCAGCTGGGGCCTGTGGATTGAGATCAAGCCACAGGAATCTTCTAACTGAGGTCAGCAGGCACAGAAAAAGCAGAAGGCAAAGCATGGCTGCATTTAGTCACCCCTTTGCAGCCACCTCCAGAGACATTCCAAGACCCTCAGTCACATACCTCTGTAGTGCTCCATCCGAGTGTGATGAGTGATACCTTGCGAGCGAAAGCTTAGGCTCAAGATGTAACGAGGGTCAGAGCTGTCTCGTACCAGGAAAGACCCATCTGGCTTCCCTTTCAGTTTCATCTCTGCATCTTCCCAGTTCATCGGTCCCCAGTACCATCCACACTGCCAAAAGAGGACCAGAACATCACTGGACTTCTGATAAGATACAAAACACTTGCCTATCATACTGCTTCCCCTTTCATAGCATCAGCGCTCCCAGAAAGAATTAAGAAAGTTCAACACTGCTTTTGCCCACAGTGACAGACAAGGAAGCAACATTTCCTCTGCAGGGTGATTTTTCCACCAAGGTGCAGTCTGTCATGTTTGTTAATCACACTATGAAACCAATCTGAAGCTGACAAGGGTTTCCAGTGACAAGTTCCTTCCCCAACCTGTTACAAAGAAGCCAGCTTAGACAGGACAAACAGTCACAGAAAATAAGATAGCTACATCTCACAACTACACCACTCTTCTCTCTGTTCTGGCAGTTAAACCAGTTTCACCTCCCACCCAGGAAAGACAGAATCACAATATAATCAGAAACTCTCACTGTCCTCAGTCAGGGATATCACTGCACTACCAGACTAAGTGAGATACCACACTGCTGCATCTAGAGCCCTTCACTGAACCTACAAGGGATTGAGAGTTGGGGTATTTATTGCTGGAAGAAAGAAAGGGTGGAATGAAGTTTGTGTTTCCTACCCCCACTCTCCCCACCTCCAGGTCTGTAAAGGGGGAATTAATGAAGCCCCATTCAAAAAAAGGTGTGGGGGTTGGGGGGAGCTTTTCCCAGACTTAACTCACAGCAGGGAGCCTTTGCTCAACAGGGGTTTGTAAGAACCATAGACCTGGCAATGTGAAACTCTTACTTTTTCCAGTTCTCGCAAGCTGGCTGCAAAGCTACTTGAGTCTGGTCGGTAGAGGGGGCACTGAAGATGCTGGGAGGGCTGGCTGGGCACTGCCTCCGTCGGTCGGAGTGGGACAATACGCGGAAACGCATCTGCAGGGGAACAAACAAACAAGTGCCATGCAACGGTTACCAACAGGGGCCATCTCCAAAGAACAGTGTGCTACCCTTCCCAAGCAGGCCCTCAACTCTCGAGGACAATGCAGGGGTAGCAGAGCTGCAGCGGGGAAGAGAAAGCTGTGCTAAGTGATGGCATCCTTGAGAAGGACACAGCAAGAGTCACTATCCAGCTTTCCTAAGAAGACTAATTCAGTGTCTACTGGCTATTTCCTTACATCAGCTGGGAAGAAGTCAATGGAAACACCATATACTTTTCCACCTTTTTTATTTTTATTTTTTTAACAAAGCAGCTAGAAAGTGAGGTCAAAGCAGCTGAGGCTCAAGATCTGACAGCTTAAAAAAATGAAACCCAGAGGACAGGAAACTAAAGATTAAATGTTATTGCCCTGTAAGTGCACAACCCCAGAAGTGACTTATGACTGTGTGTAGAAACAGCTCCCTAGTCTCAATAGCTCTCCTGCGTTAAGCCCTATTCCCATAACAGTGCTGAAGTTGCTGACACTAGTAGACAAGACTCTAGTCATCGCACAAGTCAGAGACAGAGGACACCACTTAGACCAGTCATCCAACCTTCAGCCACCACAGGGCAAGGCTACAGTTGATGTATATTCTAGTTCTGCTGAAGCTAAGGGAGGGAGTGGATAAGATCCAATTTCTGTCAAACCTAAATGCTTATTCTGCAAGACTGTTATAAGGAGCAAAGCCTGACACACAACATGTAAAAATAGGTAGTTTAAAAAGGACAAGGAACTCAGCTGTGCTTTTGTGTACAGCACAATAGGTAAAAGACCAGCTTGGTTATGCATAACTTGAACAGGTCAGAGGAAGCAGCACCCAAGACCTGCCATGGGTCTTTGAGACAATCTAACCTTAAGTTTACAATATAAGAAATTAGTCCAGATCTCTGAAAAAAATGGAGCCTTGCTGCTAAAGCTAAGCTGACCTGGGGCATGGGGTGGAGGAGGCGGAGGCAGAGGGAAAGACTGCAGGGAAGACCCCATCGGACCCACTAGGACAGATGTAGGCAGCGTCCCACTGATATCATCTAGAAGAGAACAGAAGCAAGAAAGATTCAGAACACAGGAAAGCAAGCAAGCTGCTACACTGCCAAGTGCCTGCCAGCAAAGCAACAGCATGTCCGGCCTGCAGAAGAATGGCACAGCGGCAGACAGATCACAGTCTTTCACTGGTTGCCCTGAAGAACAGGTATTGGACAAGTGCTCTGCACTTCCAGGTCTCCATTGTACCTGGACTCACACCTCTCACTCACACTTGCATTCTGCTCCTGCAAATGAAGAAGTTAGTCTCTAAACCAAATCATTTCAGAAGATGGTATGCAAGACGAGACAAATATGGACACAGGCTTCCTGAAGCCACATGTCGGCCCAGCATGCAGCCTCATGCAAGGTCTACACATCTGAGTTGTGGCCTCTGAAGCCAGCAACAGCAGGGGAATGCTGTTCAGTTAGCACACTACACCTGGGAGAAAGAAACCATCTCACCAACCCTCTGCTCCAGCTGATTTAGAGCAGCACTGGGAACCATTTTCCACATAGGAAGTTGGGGTCACCCCACTGTAAAGGATGTCAAGGAGCCTGCCTCCTGCCCCCCAAAAAAGAAAGAAAGAAAGAAAGAAAAAAAAGCCAACCCCTACCACTTGCACTACAGACATGTGACCACAAAGGGTGCTCTTTAGGGAGGCACATGTAGTACCTAGCAGGCTGAGGCTTCTTCGTGGCGGAGGTGGAGGAGTCGGAGGGTGAGGAGAGGTCAGTCCTCGCTGAGAGATGTCCACATCCACTAGTGACACAGTTTCACCTGAGGGATTTGTGGAGCAAGACCGTTAGAGTTCAAGCTTTCTCCAGAGCAAGAGAGAGTAAGAAAAAGGTCAGGCAGCAAGAAGCTGAGTTGGTAACCTTCAGAATGGCTTGGAGGCCAACTTCCACGGAGGTCAGAGGCCTCCACTGCAATCTCATTACAGTGCTTGCAAATTGAGTTTCCACCATGCACATTGATCAGCTCTGACATGGCAGCCCAAAGGCCAAGCTCTAAATAACAGTTAAGAGCGAGCAAATAGGAAATATTGATGGGCTACCGAACCCAACTAAGACTCAGCATCAAGAGGATGGTCTAAGGAAAGGGACTGGAGGGGTTTTCAAAATGCCCTTTGCTGCATTATATTGGCACTTACCAAAGCACCATAAGCATGTGCATTTCAGACAGATTCCTGCATGTCCCCTTACAAGGAGAGACTCCAAGAGCTAAAGCCACATCTGACAAAAGTCACATTTGGAATCTAAAACCCACTAGTGCCTTTTGATATAAAAAATATTCTCCAAATGCTCCTCAAGTGGAGAAAGGTTGGCAGCGTGTTACTGGCAGCTTTGGGACCACTCTCCCCTCTCAGGGTCAGGAGCTATAGTAGGAATCGTTGATGCTGACAACTGTTCAGTACAGATGCTAATTACAAAAGCCTCCCCTAAAGTTTTGCTTAGCTTTTGTGCTCAGGAAGTGGTTGACCAGACAGATCTGCACATAGGTAGGCAGCACCTGATGCCGTAATGCTGAAAAGACTACATTCCCATTAGCTTCAATGCAAACCTGTCTGCCAGCAGCCTGCAAGCTCAACAAAGTTTAGGTTAAATGCTCTGTTACTACAGCAAAGCAACCCTTAAAGTCAGTCTAGTGTGAAAACCAGAGGCTAATTACAGGGAGCTGGGCCAACTTTTTGGTTCACCAGCCTCCACATGCCCAGGTCCCAAAAGGCCTAGACCTACACCGATTACTGGGGGGAAAAAAAAATTGTGACCCAGTCCCCTTTTACATTTAATGAAACATGTTTCAAAGTCACAAGAACATATCAAAGCTCAGCTACTAAGGACTAAACTGCAAACTGATTACTGAGGCTAGGCTGCTAATTTGGTTCTGATTAGATATTTTTCTCCTTTCTAGAGAAAATCTTTAAAAACAAAAGTTTTCATCACTTCTAAAAAGAATTATTAAGGAGTTAAGTTGTTGCCACAATTGAAACATTTTGCCTAAGTCAAACCAACATGCAACTTGGAGCTGGTAAAATATCAAGACTGAAACTAGAGTTATCTAGTTCTGGACCACAACATCAAAAGACAACTGAAGCTCACTTCCTTAGATTTCAATTCTTGTGGGGCCTATCTGAAAACAATCCTCCTCCAGATACCGCATTACTGACAACCAGAAGTCTGACAGCTTTTGTTTATCAGAAACTATAGACTGCCAATGCAACCCCCTCAGGATTTTTAAAGACAGAACAAGCAGCACCCCACTTACTAAATTTAGGGAAGGTACAGAAGGGGAACCCTTTCCCCCCATCTTTGCACACTCCATGCACAAAAACACTTTCACTTCTACACCCTAAATAAAAAAGCTGATTTAGGCTGAGACGTCTCCAAACACCAAACAGAATCAGAAACTCTCATTTGCACAGACAAACAAGATGAAACTGCAGTGAAGGGACCAAGCACATTCTGCCCGCTTTGTGCTTCTCACTGATATACACAAGACTGATCAAAGGCTGGAGCGGCCATGGTCCAACGAACCAGCCTTGGGGAGTGGGGTGTGTCAGTCTTCCCACACATGGCTTGCCAACCTGGCCTACCTCAGCCTTACTGGCCTTCAGGAAAACCAGGTGCGACATCATGCAAGTTGATGCAATCAGCTTTTAACGATGACCTCCAACCATCAAGTTATGGGAAAGTCCCAGTTAAAAAATAGCTTCTGGTTTGCATACTCGATACTGCTATTAGTGACCCACAAAAGCAAATATAAAAATCCAGACATGAGACTACTTTGAAGTGTCATCTCAACACCTTTTTAGTTAGCTGATTTAATTTAGATTTTCTGTGAACTGGTGACAAAACCCTACAAAAATAGCGGGGGGGGGGGGGGGGGGGCGGGAGGGGAGGATGTACACACCCTTTATAAAACCCACCACTCCGGATTCATTCATCAGCAAAACTGAAGACAAATTTAAATAGTTTCCATTTTCCCAAGAGAAACAAGAGATGAAAGAAGTTACTTGAAACCAATTTAAGAAATAACTTTGGCATTTATGTAAGATCTCTAATCACTCACCCACTCTCACAGCAAATATTCTGATTCTCTAACAACAGCTGAAGAGGGTGACAGAAGTTTTGGATTTGGCCATGCTTGATTTTTAAAAAATGAATGCAGTCTACACACATCCATGGTAAGCAAGGCAAGGTAAAAAATGCAGCAAGTCTCTACTGCTACCACAGGCTGAAAATGCCTACTCAGGAAAGTCCAAGATCATAAGGGAGCAGAGAATAGCAAGCACTACAGTTTGAGTGCTCCCCCAATCCTTCAGTTTCTGGCAGTAGCTCCTGTGATTCTCACAGAACTGAAGGATAGCTGGGGAGGGAGCAGAATTATTCATTTACAGGTCTCAGGCAAAGTCAAAAGAATGACCTTCAATGCAGACAAGTCTCTGCAAAGTGCCTTCACTGCTCACCACAAAGAGCAGCCTGAACCCCAGTAAGGGGCTAGAAAGTGGAAATGCTACTCCTCCAAATGTTACTGGGATCTCTCTCCGCTGTGGTATCTGTGCTCCAGACACAAAGCCATACATACCAGCAAGGGCAGACTTTCAAACCAACCTAGCGGGCATTTCCACCTGTCCATTATGGCATTACTTAAGTCAGGACTGTTCAAATGTGACAGGTTAGTGTGCAGCCCCTAGGCTCCCAGCCAGTCACTACTACCTCCAATGCTATGGCCCCCAGGGTCTCTCAGGCAGGGAAGCATTGCTGAAGGCCCAGTGAGCTTGCTGCCCATGCACCAGCAGCATGGTAGGGGTGGGAAATCACCCACGCAGGGTTGGCAGCAGGACGGGGCTTGTATCGCCACAGTGGTAGGTGGGTCCAATCCTGAGGAGCCCATGCAGCCCCCATAGCATCCAGCCCACAGTGTGCAGCACAGGGCCCACTACCTGTACAAGATGCGGTACCAGGTGGCTCTGGTGTTGGACAGTCTTGACCCAAGTGTATCCTGATCCCTGTACCAAGAACAGTCAGGACATACAAGAAGCCCTTTGCATTTACGCTGAATCTGATCTCACTACTATACCCCCCGACATACTTCAAGCTGCAGTGCCCCAGGTGTAGTCTAAATGGTACAAACCAGCCAACTTGCTGTATTCCACTACACAGTGAAACACAGCATCCAGCTGAGAGGATGTCTTTCACACAGGACAGTCCCACACAGGAATCCTACCTTCCCCCTTCTAAAGAGTCGCAGCCTTCAGCACAGAGCGACTCCATGCCCACCCAAGCAATGAGACAGTCAGGTACCACAGCACACCCCTCTCCTGAGAAGCCCTGATGCTGGCATTAGCTGTGCAGAGCAACCAAGTAGAGTCACTTCCACTGCAAGCTTTTATGGACAGAAACCACTGCAATTACAGTCCCTGGAACAACAGGGTCCCCACTCATGATAGAGGCTCTTTAGTACATCCACTATGTCCCTACTTACTACAAACTAGAGCAGAACACCCCCTCTGCTATTAAACCCACAGCAACCCACGGAGACGAAGAGCAGTAGGTATTTCCTGGGAGGCAGAGAAGAGTTCTGAGAAGAACTGAACATTGGAGTCCAGCTTCATCACACATTTCTACTGATGTAGCTACACCATGTAATACCCTGGTGGAAAATGGAGTTAACCCTCGTGTGTTTTAAACACCTCCCCATTCCAAACAAGAGAGAACATGACAGTATATTTACAGGGACATTGCATAAAAGTACTGCACTAGTATAAGCATCCCTATAACAGACAGGACATAAGCCTCCAAAAGTACCAACTCCAGTTCCTGTCTCCCTGTCCAATAGGGGAGCTGAGACCCTGAAGCAGGACAAGGAGCTGTTTTCTTAGTTGGGCTCTTATTCTAGGGTTAGAGGTTATTAGACCTGAGGGGGGGAGGGGGAAAGAACCCTGCCCATAGTGTTGAAAAGGCAATCAAAATACCCTCCTCCACTTGATCTGTAATTCAGCCTACACAGGCTCTTTGCAATGCTACAAAATGCAGCGTTTCCAGCTCATCTTTCAATCCTTACCTGTGAAGAGGGGGCTGAAAGCGGCCGGAGAAAAGGCACTTTGAGTTCTCGTCAATCTGGGTTTCCTATTGAAAAAGAGACAGATTGAATGAAGAGGCAAATGTAGCAGTGAGTTTCCTCCCCCACACTCCCCAAGAGTTTAAAAAAAAAAATTGCTCAGTTTGACCTTGTGAGAAGTCGGCAGGTCCCTAGTTACTGCATTTGCAACTGAGTTTAAGACCAAGAGGAAGCACACAAATACTAAACAATTTCTAGAGCAGTATTTTGGCTTCAGTACAGCAACTGACACAGAGGGCAGGGCCCCAGTCTTCAAACCCCATAAGGCTCTAAGCTGATAATTAGCAAGTTCATTTCCGAAAGACAAAAACAAAAAAGAAGGTTGGAGCCCAGACTCCAACTTGAGCCAAGAAACCTGGCTCAGAACTGACAGTACCATAATGTGCTATGTCACTAGGCTGGCCACAACAGCTAAACAAGAAAGCATGGCTTGCAGTCGCACACAGCTCCGGATTACAGGTGTACTGCAGGCAGGTTAATTCTGCACTGACACCCACTTTCTCAAATGCAACCTCTGGAGGAAGGCTGAGAAATTGTGTGCACTGCAGAGGAGCTACCTCTTATCCCATTCAGCTAAAGCTGTGCTTCTCAACCTTTTCAGACTCCAAAAACCTTTCAAAATTCAGAAGCAGCCCATTTACAAAGACTAACATAAATGCATTATAAATGTTATAATATCAACATTACAATTATATTACTAAATAATATGTTATTAATTGATCAGATAATTATATTATATTCACCCCACTGCCACATCCAGGGAGAAGTGCTGTGTGCCTCCCCCAGAGCCAGATAAGGAAGTGGCTGTGGCAGGAGCACATGCATGGTCTTGCTACATACAGCCCTTCCCAGTCCAACTCTGCACAGTGTCTCCCTGAAACAAGGGCCACAGGGTAGGGGGAACTGTCCCATACACTTCTTTTCAGGAGGCACACTGGAGTCAAACTGAGAAGCAGCTGCAGGAAAAAGCCACACCTGCCCACATTATATTCTGCAGACAGGCTCATTGCTTCTGCCATAGCTCTTCCTGGCTCAGCTCTGGTGTACCTCCTGGAAACAAAAGCATGCAGGACAGTTTCACCCCACAGCAGGGCCAATATTGCAGCCCCTCCAATTGAGGACTACTGAGCTAAAGCACACCACCAGTGAGGTTGCCCACATCTGCAGGCCAAGCTCCTAAACACCTGGACATGATCTACTTAGAGATGTTATCTGCAGAGCACCCAGCCACTAAGGCATCTCAGCACTGCTAATGTTGACATCAGCATTTCAAGTCCCCAAGCCAGTTGACTGGCCCAAACCTCACAGGAAGGCACTTGTTGTCCCAAGATACCACATGAAGAAACCACTTTGTTTAGGGCTTGGTTTGCAGAAGCTGAGTTTCATGCTAGGAGCCCATTAGGCACAAGCTTCCTGTTTTGGACAAAGCAGCACGTGGCTGCCAGAAGCTCAGCTGAAAGTGTTTCAAGATTGGCCAAGCTTAAATGTAAGACCTGACCCCACATGTTGCACAGGCCTCTTGGCAGGGGTCATTTTACAGGGGCAGTTCAGCAGTACGTACAGCAAGTCAGCACCACAGCCTTGTCTTCCAACAAGGATCACTCCCACAACTAACCCTCCCAAGCTCTTTCCCCCTGCCCCCACCACTAAGAGAGAAGTCAAATCACTTTGCCATTCTCCACCCAGGCATGCGAGCAGATTACTTCACGCCAAGTATCACAACCTGATAGTGCTCTCAAAAATGTCACTCTATACAGCCTTGCAACACTGCTGTGAAGATTTACCAGGCCTGACAAACTCTACTCCTGCACTCTTGCCATGTGAGAAAAAAAAGCCAGATTTTACCTTCCCATCAAAAGACAACCATACAACCTGAGCAAGCACATTTTATAGGGCTGACATGGTTCCCCAGGGGCCTTCTTCTCAGCCTTCCTTCCAGACTTGCAAAGAGCAATTGTTACAGAGCTTAAAGTCCACAGCAGTGTTTGAACTTTAAGTTACCTTACCCCATAACTAGCCTCCCAAAAAGCCAGGCAGCACCTCAGATAAAAGACAGGAGTCCTAGTTCCAAGCCAATTTTGTGAAGGGTTTTGCTGATCATGTGCAACTTGCCCATATTCCTGGAACAGAGAAATCTGCATTCCTGTTTCCTACCACCTGGTATTAAAATCCACAGGAGTGCAGAATGTGTGGGTGTACCCTATTTCTTCTATAGGAGAATTCCTATTCTCATCTACACCTGAACAGCCTCATCAATCCTGCTGGCATTACACAGGTGCAAAGGAAGTGGTTAGGGCTGTACTTCTGCAAATAAGGACTATATTGAGAAAAACCCTGCCATGTAAATACTGATCATTTTTATCACATCACACAAAACAGGTTGTTCTACTTTGAAACCCGAGATCAAGTCCTTAAGGGGCTTTTTATTTTTATTCCTAAAGGAAGAACATAGCATTATAACCCCCTACCCACACGTTTGTGGCTTGCTAACAACTTTATAGGGTTACCCTGATTTTTTTGCTCCCACACAACTGCAGGGATCAGGCTTTTTTGCACAGCTGGGCCATTATTAAAACAGGTTATATTTACAGACCTGCAATCTGCAGCAACAGAAAAAAAAAAATAAATCACACACAACTCGTGTATTCTCACTTCTATCAAGTGGGGTCACAGCCAGAAATAATTCACATGGATTAGACTTGCTGTGTTTCAGTTTCAGACCCAAATGGTCTCTTCCAAGAAGTCTTTTAATTCTGGCACAACAAATACTGCTAAATCAGGTTGGGAAGTAGGAATGGTGATGAGGTGCAGATGACACGTTAGCACTGATGCATTCATTTGGCTTAACACTACAGACAATGCCCTAGGGCAGCAGTCAGCAACCTTTTAAGGCTGAGCCACTCTGGCCCACACTTTGGGTCAGCAGGCTGGCAAGTGAGCGCTAGGACACAGCTGCCACTTCTCCCTGCTGCTGGTGCATGGAAAGTGTCCACTGCCAGCACTTTTCCCTGCACCAGCTCAGGGAAGACAACTGCTGCTGGAGCTCCCCACTGCCCAACACCACCAGAGCCCCACATCCACAAGCCAAATCCAGCCTGCAAGCCATAGGTTGCCAACTCCTCTTCTGTATGTGGACACTATGCTGGATGTGTCAGTTGCTAAAGGCACACATAGCACAAGCATGTAGCAAAAATAACAACAATCAGCCATATCAAGACAAAGCTAAGGATGTGTTTAAAGTGGTAAAGAACTAAGCAGTTCAACCACAGCTAAGGCACAAGCCCCAAAGAGCCACTCGTCCTGGAGTATGTTACCTGGCTCCACTTCAATGCCTCTTTTCCAGTTGCCCTTCCAGCAATTCCTCAAGAGGGGCCAAAACTGCAAGCAGCTCACTGGCTTTGAGAAAAGCCCTGGCCAGGCATCCTACTAACTGCAGCCACATGGTACCTTCTGTTTATGATTGCAGCTCACACACTTTAGGGACTGTCTAAAGAGAAGATCTTCAGCACCAAGTGGCACATATCTGTGGGTGAGCCCTAAGACTTGTCCATGACTCTTCACAGGCTGCCATCTGCTGAAGTGGACAAGCAGTTGCTTGCATAGACCCATGTGCAGAATCATGGGCCTCTACCAGGCCCTCTAACCTGAGAGGCAGAGGGACACAGCTGCTTTGGAAAGTAACTCCCATGATACAGCATTTCAAACCTCAAATGCTGAGGGGCCCAGAGGCAGGAAATGCTGCCATGGGTATGTCTCCCTTTAGTCTGCCCCTACACTGGCTCATCAAAACCAGCTATTGACCTTAAAGAATGGGGTCAGCCTCCTTCCTCACTTCTACTGTGCTTGCTAAGCCAAGCTGTGGTATGCTGCCTTGAGGATCCTCAAATGCTAAGGGAACTCTGCCCGGCAACTTCAAATACAGGAGATTCTGCTTAGCTGTAGTGTTTAAAGCAGGGACTCTGTAATGAGCAAAGACCCTCTGCAGCAGGATGATGAAGTATCACTTCATGTCAATCAGAGTAGGAATGATTTAAGAAGGGTGGAGGGAGGAAGGGACTCTGAGTCAGATATACCAACATGAATACGCTCAGCAATAAACCTGGGAGTAGAAGCCATCGATTAGACCACAAGTCAGCTTTGAGCTCACTGAAGCAACCATCCCCTTTGGCAGCAGCAGCTTCACCCAATCCCAGAGACAGTTTTCTTGAAAGAACTAATTTCCCTCCCTACCAAAGCCGTGAGTAACCGTAGGACTGGTTTGAAGTACAGTGCCAGTATTATTTTTAACATGCTTGTCTACCCCCGCATTTTAGCAGCAATTAGGAAAGCGAGTTGCAGTTTGAGCTTGGATTGGCCAGTTGAGGAAAACTCTCTGGGAATGTATGGTGCATCTAAATCAACTGCATGCACTGGAACCATGACTAAAATCATGACCACCTTTTCTGCAGGGAGGAAGAGCCGAGATCCAGCCAACTGTATAGCCCACCTCTGACCAGGGGGTAACAAAAGAGCTGGGCTTCCTGGGAAGGGTAGCCAAGAATAGCAGTATTGGGGGGGGGGGG